GAGAGAGAGAGAGAGAGAGAGAGAGAGAGAGAGAGAGAGACCCCGAAACCTATCTTTTTTTCTTTTCTTGCTTTATTATATACAATAGCAAAAAAACATCGAGTACTAACGAGAATTAGGCCAAAGACCGAGCTAGAGTTACTGCGTGCAATTCCGGGAGTAGTGGAGTACTCCTCACCACGTGGTGGAAAGATGTGGAAAGGGATGGATGGATAGGCTGTGCTTGATATAGAGCAGAGAGGGTTTACAGTGTAAACTCTCTGATATAGAGGCACATCGACATAGAATATAATGCAATACGCGCCATTTAGTATTTCGTGCAGAGTGAAAGGAGAGGGCAGTTGACGGGTGTTCTGATGAGGTTTGCTCCTTCTTCCCTATCAACACTCTCTTGTAACACCTACCTCGACTGATATTCGACACGTATGACCTCACCTTATTGCATCGCAAGCGCCGTAAAATTCTTATTAAAATAAATCAAAGATGTGCATGTACGTGTGTGTGTGTGTGTGTGTGTGTGTGTGTGTGTGTGTGTGTGTGGATACAAGCTTGCGAGCGTGAGAGCGAGCGAGCGAGCAATTCAAGCATGTGTAAGTGTGTATCATGTCGTTTTTGAGTACACATATGAGTGTAACCAAGCACAACACAGTGCAGTTGCGTTAATTGATTAAATGTGAGCAGGAATGTAAAAGCGCGCGCGTGTGTGTGAGTGTGTGTGTGCGTGTGTATGTGTTTGTGTGTGTGCATGTGTGTGTTTGTGTGTGTGCATGTGTGTGTGTGTATTTGAGTGTGTGAGTGTGTCCATGTACGCAAATGAAGGCGGGCTGGCAGGTGTTGCTAGTGTTTAGTGCGTAGTTGAGTAGAGCACGCGTAGTATGTCGTGTGTACTTTTCATTACCTATCATTCAAGATGGCTATCATGGCACACGCACGCACTGCGCACTGCACACGGTCGCACGTGCTTTCAAATAAAGCCCGTGGCCAACAATGTCGTGAACACGGCGATGGATGAGACAGACAAACATGATATAGAGCGTCAGCTTGCCCGGACGGGGAGCCGAGACAGTAATGATGACACACTCGTTACACCTGACACCATGCCACTCACTCACTCACCGGGGGACGACAAAGAGATCCATAATATACAGAGAGCAGATGCATCACGTGTCGCATCGTGGTGAAACCAGACGCTAGTAAAAAAAAAAAAAAAAGTTTAAAAAGTCGAAGAAACCGGCAATGTTTTTAAAAAAGTAAATATTATTTGTTTTTAAAAATCTTATCTACTTATTTATTTACCTGTTTATGTATTTATTTACTTATGTATTTATGTATTTATGTATTTATTTATTTATTCATTATTACTTTTGGCTCAACTTCATTTATTTGTATTATAAAACGTATCTCGGTGATGATATTACTGAAAAATGATGATTAAAGGCACAGAAAATGTAAATTTGCCCAGTTTTCAAGGACACTCAAGCTTAAGCCACCAACTCTGGGAGCCAGTCAATTTCTCTCACACCAGGCGTCCCCCACCTCATTCAATCGCAAATATCTCGAGTTCTAATCAAAATATTTTATTATGTTCCTTTTGTTTTTGCTTTGTTTTGTGTTGGGTTTTTTTGTTTGTTTGTTTGTTGGGGAGGTTTTTTTCGGCAGAGAGGGGTTTGTTTTATTAAATAATCAAAAACAAGACATATTATGAAGAGGCTAAGGATGGTACAAATACTTCATAATTGACAAACGCCTGATTTCACCACGATGCCTCACATAATATAATATTATACCTTGTTCTGCGCAAAGCGTACACCAGTGAATGGCACCCTCTATCCTGCTTTATTCTGCCTGTTTCATTTATAATCCGATTTTCTGGACGAATCTACATTTCAAATCATTTATATGATTGAAACGACGTAATAGTAAAGATAACTTGCACGTTGAAAAGCCACTTTTTTTAAACGTATGAATTTCAACATTAATCCTTATCATTCCTCTTTTGTTCAGATATAAATCTCTCTCTCTCTCTCTCTCTCTCTCTCTCTCTCTCTCTCTCTCTCTCTCTCTCTCTCTCTCTCTCTCA